ACATACATACATACACACACACACATACACAAACGTACACATACACTTGTCTCGACAAAATGCTCACTGTGCAACTGTTGCAGCATAAAGCTTATAAAAACTGGAAGAATACATCAAGAACCCACCCTTCTATTCTACGATACATATGACCAGTTCAGTCTAAGGTGGCTCCTGCTATAAACGCTCGATTTTTTTGGAAATATGTCCGTCACTTTTATTTCACGAAAGCTACAAATAAATAAGGTAGTGATTGTAAGAAAAATAAATTCCGATCTCTCCAGCTGTAAAACCGATCTCTTCTGGTAATATTCTTTAAAACATATCATAAAATCCAAGATGAGGCAAATTCTAACCAGTCCTAATTAATTTAAAAAAGCATCTACTCACATTTGACTTAAATCAAATTCATTTTGCCTCAAACTTTTTTCGAAAGTTCAAAATCATGGACCGAATGCAGTGCGCTTTCAAAGTCATTTCGAAAGTAGTGCTGCCAACCATCTATAATTTAGAGAAATACACTTCAGCTATTCATTCTGAAGATGGCAGAAAAAGGAAGAACCTGCATCATGACGACTAGAGCGCGGACACATCGCTCAAGTTGTCGGCTTCCTGCGTACATTTCAGCCGGTGTTTTCTGAAAAATTGCGATACGGCAGTTAAATTTTTACCCAAAATGAGCAGTCCGGAAAGTAAATGAAAACAAATTTCAAAACCGGGGAAACTTCCTCTTTACCTCCTCCTTATTGTCGTGAGCAAATTTCCTCTTTATCCCTTCTTTGAGTACCTGCGACCAGAAAATCTGATAAACAGATTTTCACAAAAATGCTTACTTTTAAATAGTTTGTGAAGACTTTCAGATGATCGACTGCAGTATTATGCAAATGTAGAACTTCCAAAACCATTGTAACCTATAAGTAGTGCAATTATTATTATTACACAAACTGATATCTTTTTAATCGATACAATTAAATCGAGTCAAGACCCCTTTCATATTTATTTTAGGCAATTAAACATAGTTCCGAGTGGCCGGATGTGCTAGCAGTAACCATTCGTTGACAAGATTGTCGATGGCTACCTTTTTCGAGGGCTACTTGTCGATATAGTTAAATTACTTGAGAAAATATAAACTTTTACCAACTGACTTAAAAATTTAAACTTTTCCCCAATTCATTTAAAAAAAAAACGAATTTCTCTCTCGCTTTCTTCAACTGAAACTAAGAGAAACCAAGAGTACCAACATATCCCGGACTATCAGTTTAGGAACTCATGTTGGTGATGTTATAGGGATGTACCATTTCACTCCACCTCAAAAAATGACTAATTGTTCGAGTAGTGTTAAAACAAACATTTCGAACGGAGAAATTATACAACGTTCGATATCGCTCTTCTTCAGCATCCGAAC